CAACAGCGGCTGTTCCAACCACCACCGTTGTACCTGTTTCATGGAGAACAACGACCCTCTCCGCCAGTGAAACGACACTTACACAGAGCGGCTCACAGATTGTCGTTACATCGTACATCACGTCCGTGGCGACTGAGTCTGCCACACAGGTTGTCACCGCACACACAACAGTTGTTGTTTCTTATACGAGCACAGACTCTATGGCAAGCTCAACTTCCAACACCGGCACTGATCCGAGTTCAAGCTCCGCATCGAACGTTAACGTCAACGCTTCAAACAATTCTCAGAAGAATAATAATAACAACGACTCATTTTTTGACTCTGCAGGGAAAGTGGCCGGTGTGTTTACAGTTGTTGGTGTTGTTTGCGTGGGAATCATTGCATCCATAGTATACTGTTGTTTCTTCAAGAGATCACATGACAACGATGATGACAGTGATAGTGATGACGATCTGGAGAGTCAAATGAAAGGAAAGAACGATGCGGCCATCACTCAACACAGTGTTGAGAACGAATCCAGCGATGATACAGTTGTTGGACATGGCATGGGACCGCATGGCAGACAGATGTCCATTGTTTCCACTGATTTTGGAACACCGATCATTGACCGCAGAGGTGACAGCACCTACGTTGATCAACGGTTAGATGTTGGCCATTTCAACGAAGAGGAGGAAGAGATCAAGAGCTTGAACGATAACGAGGACTATTCCAGAAAAGTGTGGAGAGTGATGAACCCCTGAGTCATATGAAATGGACCATGTAAGCACTAGCCTGTGAGAAGGGCTCAGTTCACCACAACTGTACACACATACCCACACATCAGTCCCGTCCACGCCCAGTCGAATCCCCCCTACAGTATGATCCACACGACAAGTCATCGGCAATCAGTTCCATGGACTCCTACGCTGTGTATGTATGACTCCCACGCTGTGTATTTATGACTCCCACGCTGTGTATGTATGACTTCATGTGTGGCTCTATTCAATGTGCATATATCTCTCAGATTTTACGATGTCTGAAGCTTTCGAAAGAGCTGGGAGAATGAGCAGCACACACGAAAGGGTGGGACTATGGTCCCACAGAGCAGGACTGGAGTATTGAACAAAAGAGGGCTTTATAATTGGCAACTCGCCAAGTTTGGAGTTTAACCTTGAAAGTCTGTATGGCACGAGAAAATCTCATGACGAGCTTGCTTGAAACTTTGTGCAACGAGGGAAAAGGGTGAGGCCATCGGCGTTGTACTCGTCGTGTTCACATTTCTACAGAACTTTGGTTCCCGGGTGTATCTACGCTAGGATCACTTTGAATGCAGCGAATCTTCAGCTCACGCACAGTTTTAGCTTTGTCACGTCGTTGTCTTCCACCGGGCTTACGTCCCGGTGCCTGATCGTCAGATGGCGTGGCCCTACTGCCCATCGCGGCCGCCTTGACGACTCTTCCAGCTCCAAGCTGATGTACCCGTGATGTATATATCAACAACGTATTACCATATTCAACCAATTGTAGAATTCCAGGGGTCCAATGGCGATAGATGTTGTTGCTCTGCGACGGTGGAGAGTCCCCCTCCTTCACCACTGGAATTCTCTGGTGACCCAACAAAAACTTTCAAGTCCTTCTGATGTATGAAAAAAAGGCTAAAAAAGACCCCCCGGCAATCGCATGCAGCTCGTTGCCGTGACCCCAACTCTTTCCTTTTCGTGCTTTTTTCGTCCCGTTGCTAATGCTCACGCTCGCAATTTGCCGTGGGCGAGTGTCTGCTCAGTACGCCTCCGGGCCCTTAGCAATGCGCCAGAATTGGAGCAATGTGTGATTGAATGGAGCAGAGCTGGAAGCACATACTTAAACCTACCAGCTGTATCCTGTGTTTCGTAATGGCACCATCACTCTGCCCAGTACGTAATAAGCGTATGCGATTCAGCTGGACTTAATATGTCACTGGAATGAAAGGCAAGGGGGCCTCTCCGCCCACCGCATTACGCTCGCGGCCACGACATTTTCAACCGGGTAAATCACATGGCAACGGGCAGATAAAAATAGGTTGCTCTTGCGGGAGTTTCTGCCATCGTCCCGCTCTCTCTGCCACTCACTGGCACACTCCCTGGCACACTCCCTGTGCGACTCCCTGGCCACCCCTTTCCCTCCGTCCCCTTCGCTGTGTCGGCGTGTGCCCCCGTCCCCTTCGCAACCGCTTGCTAAATCGTGTACAGAAGCCTGCAACAGAAAACCATGAGATTTTTCTACACACATGCAACTGTAATAAGACGTACATTGATTATTTCCTGCTTCTTCTTTCTTTTTCTGCTGTTTCTGCTGCTCCGTGCGCTTCAAAGTGGCACTTTTAGGATGTGAAGCTTCAGTGTAGTGGACACATAGGTACAACACTTATGCAATGTTGAGCTGTGGTTTAAAGCCCTATCCACATCCATTTCAAGTGTGGGATATCAAGTAGCATCTGCGCTAATTTGTGCAACAGCGTATAAAATCTTGGTGGTTGTGTGTTTTCCCCTTTGCCGTTTATATACAGAAGCCCCTCCGCGTATTTGTAACAACCAGTTCAAGTGCTTGAGGCATAGATATCAATTCGTAACAGATCGTTCAATGAGTGAAAGTACAACGTCGCGTGGCTCCGACCATCACGGTCTTTCAGACACGCTCAAGAAACAGCAGCAGGCGCTGAAGAGGCGTCTTCGCCAGACGCTACACATCCACGGGCACCCTGCTGAGGCCACAACCATGGACCGCCATGGTGATGTTTCCAGCACCACCAACGGCAGCAACCCACACATCGTTGACACCACGGGCGTCACCTTCAACAACAACTACACAGAGCAGCCGCCGGCGCAGATCGACTGCGAACAGCCGTCGTCGTTGAATTCGAGCATGATCTTTGAGAGATCGGTGATGCAGCCGATATCCAGAACACAGAGCTTTGCCTCCGCCAGATCGATACCTCATCTGACCCAGGAGGCGTTGGTTCCAAGCGTGCTGGACGCCGCAGCTGCTCAGGATGATAACGCTGACCACTTCGACCTCATCTGCGGCCCCTCAGGCCACCCGCTGTGTAAGAGAAGACACTCTGCGGTCTCCATGGCGGGCTGTCCTTTCCACCAGTCTGAGAACACTCTGACCGTTGTTCTGAGCAACGAGACTGGCGAGGAGAGAGAGGAAGGAGGCGAGGAGGAGCCTGAGGAGAAGGTGAACCACGGTGACGTGGTTCATGAACAGAGAACGGGGGAAGAAGCGGAGCAGGAGGTTGACTACTCGGATCAAACCAAGCTGAACTTCTGCTCGTTTGCAGACTTGGTTAGTGACGAGGAAAACACCGTGGACCATGACCTATACCATGACCCAAAGCCCGTCCCATTGACGAGAAGAAGCTCCGTTGTTGTCATCCCAGCAACTGCTTTGAAAGAGCACTGTTAGTGGCTCGCTAGCCATCACTGCTGCCACCACCACTACTACGTTTACCACTGTCATATTATTATTGGCTTCTTACATACCATCGCCATGGTGGTATACATCATATAGCATCGTGTGTTTTGTTTGAGTTTTGTTTTTTCATATAAGTGTCATCTGGATTATGGCACTATGGTGTTTGTTTGTGTTTGTTTGTGTCTGTCTTGGTTTTGTATTTAAGATATGTCTTAGAGAAGTAAACATTCGTTATTCAGCACTTTGTTGTAGTTTATGGGCATGGCGATGATGCGATTTTGATCCCGGCTCTCGGCCCATCCGCTCGGGTGCCGATGCCCTGGCACACCGCACTGGGCATCAACACCGACGGATAAGCTGCTCAATGCTGACTCTAAGTGCTTAAGCAAACCAATTGAAGCCATCACCATCCACACAAGCGTTCTCTGTCTCTCCCTCTCTCTGTTTCTCTCTGTTTCTCTCTGTAGCAGTGCGCTCAGTCTCCCGAGCTTGGACGGCAACAGTGTTAACCACCTGGTTAGGCCAAAACCCACAACATACGCTCAAAGCCAGGCACTGGCTGCGCAGCCTGGACGAGAACACGCAGAGTGTCGAGCGTTGAGACAGGAAGAAAGCTCAGTAATCACACGCCTCTGATAGCCAGTCGACACCTACGCTCTCATAGATGCCTGTGGATACAAAAGTTGTGATTGTTGGTGGCGGAATCGCCGGTATCAAAGCAGCTATTGAGCTGCAAAAGAAGGGCATCCGATACACGATACTGGAAGCAAAGGATCGGCTAGGAGGCCGACTACACACTGTCGAGGGTAAGAATGGCAAGTACGACATGGGTGCGAGCTGGTTCCATGAGACTTTGAAGAATCCGCTGTTTGACGAAGAGGTGGGCCTGTCGAAGGAGTTGAACTTTTACTTCAACGATGCGCCAGTCAAATACATCGACAGAGACGGCGAGATCGATCCAATGCTGGGCATTGACCCCATCATGGAGGAGATTTATAAGTTCTCTGAGCTGGAAAGCTATCGAGATCTGGATGAGGACGACTCGCTCTACAACGTGGTGCTCAAGTACCTCAGAGAGAGGAAGAACATCTTATCAGATGAACAGATCCTAAAGGCTTCTCAGAGAGCAAGAGAGGTTGAATTATGGCATGGTACCGAGACAAAGTGCACTAGTAATAAGTACGCAGCCGTGGATAACTGTGGACGCAATGCCATGGCATTGCACTACGACAAGGTGCTGAAGAGACACACTGACGAGCTGGACCTTGCGAACGTGAAACTACAAGCCGTGGTGAAGTCCATCTGTCGTGTCGATAAAGGTCGGAGAGTGGTTGTAACTACAACTGCTGGTGATGAGTTTGAAGCTGACTACGCCATTGTGTCTGTCCCGCAATCCATCCTCCACTTAGAGGAAGGTTCAGAGGGACATATTGAATTCAATCCACCTTTGCCCTTGGCTATTACCGACTCTTTGAAGAAGATGCACTATGGAGCTCTGGGTAAGGTGGTTCTAGAGTTCGACGAGGTGTTTTGGCCAACGGATTGTGAGAGGTTCTCCGTGCTAGCATCACCACCAAGTGGGTTTCTACAAGCGATAAAGACAGGCTCTGAGATACCAGACTATCCACACTCCGACAAGCCAAAGACGTGGGAACATCCAGTGCTGTTTGTTAACATGGCAACCACACAGAAGATCCCATCACTGGTTGTGTTGACACAGTCGCCTCTCACCGACTATCTGGAGTCAAACCCTCAGTATGCGTGGGAATACCTGAGACCAATGGTTCTCAAGTTGGCCAATGCAGAGCAAGTTCCTGAGCCAATTAACGTCTTGGTGAGTCCATGGACTCAAGACCCGTACCAACGTGGCTCCTATACAGCGTGCCATCCCGGTGATGATCCATTACAATCCATAATTGCGTTCGAAACTGGCTTTGGTAACGTTAGATTCGCAGGTGAGCACACCATATTGGATGGAACGGGATGTGTGATGGGCGCATGGTGTAGTGGTACAAGAGAGGCTACTTATATCATCAACCACGTTGCCAATTAGTCATTCTTGTTTATTCAGAGACTATTGCCATAGGTTTTCCCATTTAACAGGCTTTCTCACAGCATTGGAGAACCCTTCGTGGTATTTAACCCAAATCTTAACATCTGTTTTCTGCTTCTTTGTATTGGCTTCAGTCTCTGTCATCTTTGTATACTGGTTCTTCAAGTCGTCGATGTTCTGTGTTTGCTTGGTATCTCCCTCAGCCATCTGTGCGTATGCCCTCTTCTTGGCCTTCAAGGCTTCCATCTCTTTCAGCAATGTTGGGAATACCTGTGTTTGCCTCTGCTGTTGTTTCTTGACACTGCCACTGTCAAATCTTGTAACAGGTGTGATGTCGGGGAAAGTGACGAATATATCATTATAGTCGCTATCCTTCCCCTTGTTTAGATATAGACCAAATCCTTGGATTGCAGCTATGGCATTTTCAATCTTCAGCTTGTCGCCCTCCTTCATATGATGAATTGACTTCCTTTCTGGCGTAATGATATAATCCAAATAGGGTAGCACCAAAGTAGCCAGTTCACGTTCTGAAACCATGCTCCGTAGCTGGGAGTTCAACCGTGTGTAGACCTGTTTCACAATGTTGCTCGTCTGTTTCCTTCTCTCAAAGTATTCCCAATCGCTCTTCACTTTAATGCTAGATCTATTACCCAAATCACCAAACATGTTGAAGAATTGCAACGCAACTTGTGATTGGTAATAGCTCAAGTCACCGATTGCCTCAAATTGAGCATGGCCCATTCTATCTCCAAAGTATAACCAATCGCTGATCTTTGCTGGTTTGGACATCGCAACGTCTTGGAAGTGGACACCAGGATAGGCTTGGAAACACCCGTGGACAACTTTGTCTATATTGGTTGAGACATTGAGCAGCTGTGCAAGATGCGTGAACTGCTCTTTAGGTGACATCTTCGCTTTCCTTCTGAACACCTCATTAACCAATCCATACCATGTCATTTGGAAGTCCTTCTTCCTAGAGTCTTTCGATGTATTTAACCCACCACCAAACTGCAACAGGTTGACACAGCTTCTAATGTCATAATCTGTAAGCAGAACAATCTCCTTTAGCTGTGAGTTGGTCAATGAAACGTTCTCAGCGTCACATATGAATCTTAGCCTGTCCATCAGAGACGCTTCGGTTGCCTGTTGGAATGTGATCATCTCTGCGTTTGGCCTCAACTTCTCCAGTGCCGGAACATAGGCATCGTTGCAGATACATATGATTGGTCTAAGTAAGAACTTTGGTCTATTCTTACCACTTTGAGCTTTGAATTTTGAATATTCCAACGATTGCAACTTCTTTACAGATTTTGCATCATCGTTCAAGATGTCCATCAGCACTTTGATGAATCCAAACTCTGCACCACCATCAACTTCGTCTGCAATGAGACATGTGGGTTTACCTGAAAATGTTGAGGTTGTCAATGAGTTATTGACTTTGTCGTTAACTCTTTGGCCTGCTCTTTCGTCACTTGCGTTTATCTCCATGACCTCATAGCCGGCTTGTTTAGCAATGACATGAGCTGCTGTGGTTTTCCCCAGTCCTGGGGCACCTGTGATCAGTAGAACCTTTCGTTCAGGCCTGCCAAAGGGGTCAGTAAACCTGCTCGAGTTCTCATCCTCAGTGGTCATTGGTTTGAGGTTCTTCTCAAATACAACACGGTCCCATTGTCTTAGCCAAGTCAAGATCTTTCTGTTTGTAAGCTCATTACCAACAAAGTCGAAGAAGGTCTTTGGTCGCCATTTCTCTGCCCATAGAGTATGCTTCTCTGAGCCCTTGATGTTTGATTTCCGAGCCTTCTTCTTCTTACTCTTTGTCCTATCAGCGCCATTCTCAGTAGTGGTTGATGATGCCGGTTGCCTCTGTGCCTTTAATTCCTCAACCTCCAGCTTCGCGTACAGCTCGTTTATTCTGAACCCGTAATCGGATTTATCCTGATGGATAGCATCTTCTAGCGAAACTGGTGGCTTGGGTGTCCTTTTCTTCAACGTTATAACCCTGCCACTTGCGAGGTGAACCTCTTTAGAGCCATCTCTCTGTGTGCCGGGACGCAGTAACGAGGTCGCTTGTGAGGTTCTTGGTGCCAGCAATCTATTCTGGAAGTTGAGCTTATCCAGTGAAAAGTCCAAGGAAGGCTTACTGGTCATGACTGGCCGATTCTCACCACTGCTTCTCCAAGAGACAATGGAGTGATGAGAGAAAGAATGGGATAAAACGCGTCGCTGCGTACAACGTTTCGCGTCGGTGGATCCTGGTCACGTGACCGCGTTGGAATATTGTCACGTGACATTGGTTTTGAGCCCCGGTTGCCCAAACTTTCACAGCCAATAACCAACCACTACAGTTCAACTACTTAAGCCTCTACGACTGTGCTAAATTAACCAATTGAATCATGTACAGTTTGATGCTCTTGGGTAGCTACTACCCAAGTCACAATGTTATATCTCTGATTTTTATTATCATTTTTTTTGGACTAGTGTGTGTACGTGTGCTGAGTGCTCCTTCTTAAACCACTTTGTAGATGGACAATGTGTTCTGTAATGTGATGTTGATCAACAGTGGGTTTAAAAGAGAGCGTGGATTGGATTCAGCACAACTGATTTTTCTATGTTCATGAATATCCTAGCGACAACATTTACTCGTCGTCCTCGTCCTCCTCCTCGTCATCTCCGCCACCAACGTACTTGCCCTTGATGTCCTTCCACAACTTGCCTCTGTTGTGGTACTCGTACCATCTGGTAACACCAGAGTCGAACACTGGTTGGAAGACAAATGCACCGGCAAAGATGGTACCGACAAAGATGGAGTTTCTCTTGAAGATGGTGTTGTAGATTGTTGAGTAGAATGACTGTGCTTTGTGTTAGTTCAACATCGCTCCTGGCCCCCTTCCTTCTTCGCATCAAAACAGATGCCAAAACAGATGCCAACCGTCATCACTTCCGCCCCAATAACATCGTCAACCTCGTCGCGTGATGACAGAGCCATCTGCTTTGCTCAACTCGCCCTGGCTATACTCACCATCTTTCGTTTCCGTAGTTTCCCTTTCTGGTTCAAGCTAACGACAAAGAGTTGATGGGGAGGAAAAAAACGTTCTTGTTTTCCCTTTGGGCTCTCTCTCAATTTTCAACCACCAAAAACCCACCGGCTAAAGCAAAGGGGAAAACCCGCCATACAAAATTTTCCCTAAGAGAAAACAGCCCGCGAACAAATTTGTGTGTGAACTTTACCCGCCAGCGTAAAATGGATTTAGCCCGCTGTTATTGGTTGCGTGTGTGAACCGGATGTGGTCACGTGACACGTAACAAAAACGGATTGAAAATGCAAAAAGAATGAAACGGACAGGAATTGAACCTGCAACCCTTCGATTGCACTATTCCAACTGGAGTCGAAAGCTCTACCATTGAGCCACCGCTTCATCTTCGGAAGTTTTGGGGAGTGCTCTTCAGCATGCTGTGCTCATGGTATTGGCCAAATGCTAATTTGGTCAGTATTCATCGTAGCACGGTGTAATTGATCTGGTTACGATACCCATTGTTCAAGCTAACAGAGCTCCCAGTGAATGTGTACCACAATCATAGCAATACAGCCCAAACCTCCCCCCAATGGGCCAACATTCGATCTCCTTCTGCTCGCTGCTTGTGCGCTCCGACAAAAATGAAGAAAATACCGTACAACACTGAATTACTCCCAGACAGGTGCATCTCCTTAGAACTGAAACACCGCCAATTGGCTAATAATGGACGTGAAAGTGCAAGATAACGACAACCCGACAACAGTGGTCATCCAGGAAGGTGCCCAGGCCACGCTGATCACGCTGGATGAGTACCTCAACAAGGCACTGCCCTTACATTTGCAGAAGCAGCTACTGCAGACACAATCGTCGAGCAGTTGGTCGTTTACCCAGGGTTTACTGGTTGGTCAATTGAGCGTTATCGTGGTGATTATATTCTTCCTCAAGTTCTTTGTCTTCAGTGAAACAAAGGCGAACTCGGACTCGTTGAAGGACTCGAAGAAGAACCCCATTGTGAAGAAGATCGATGCCTCATCCACGAATGACTTGGAACAGAGAATGGAGGCCATCAATTCGATCCTGGAGAAGACGTACTATAACGTTGAGACACACTCGCCTGAGTCCCTGGACTGGTTTAACGTGCTGATTGCTCAAACAATCAGCCAGTTCAGAACTGAAGCGTTGAGCTCCGATAACATTGTTCATTCTCTAAACGATGCATTGACAAAGGCACCATTGCCAGACTTCTTGGATAAGATCAAGATAACGGAGATTGACATTGGTGATGATTACCCAATCTTTTCAAACTGTCGTATAAGGAAGAATCCTCAAAATCTGAGCAATCTACAAGCGATGATCGACGTTGATTTGGCTGATACTCTAACATTGGGAATCGAGACAAACCTGTTGTTGAACTCTCCAAAGCCTTTGACTGCCATCTTACCGGTGCAGCTGAGTGTATCAATCGTGAGATTCTCGGGTTGCTTGACGGTTTCCTTAATAACAGTAGGGGAAAACTCGGATGTTGAGAGCTTGGAAGGCAAAGGAACAGCTCTAATGTTCAACTTTGCACCTGATTTCCGTTTGGAGTTTAACGTGAAATCACTAATTGGATCCCGTTCTAAGCTGGAAAATGTTCCAAAGATCGGTAGTATCATAGAGACAAGGTTGAAAAGCTGGTTCATCGAGAGATGTGTCGAACCAAGATCGCAAGTTGTTAGACTACCAAGTATGTGGCCAAGAAGTAAAAACGTTAGACAGCAAACTACGCCTGCTGCTGCTACTGCTACTACTGCTACTGCTACTACTGCTGCTACTACTGCTGCTACTACTGCTGCTACCGTTAATACTACGGCAACTGTTCCACAGACTACGTCCCAGGCAACACCAGTACAATCAACAACTACATCAAGCATAAAGCCAACTACTTCAACACCTACAGATTCGGATATACAAGATTGAGAATAAAACGAGAGATCATGATCATTCGATGTTACAAGATGGTGTAATCTGGGGGATTGCTGAACACGAGAATATCGCCATTGGTAGTCAATTCACACGATGCATTGGAGGTTTCCACGCCTCGTTGACAGAGCCCAATAACTTCATCAGAACTGACATTATAACAATCTTTGGGCACCCATATGACCCTTTGATTGTGTTGGAAGCACTGTCGGTAAAATGTGTCGTTGTACATGTGCAGGTTCAACTCAGAAGAGCGAGATTCAAGTTCATCAAAGGTTGACGCATCACGGCTCATATTTAAAGGTGTATTCTTTGCCAATAGTCGGCCATATACTTGTTTAATCTGGTGATGAGCAGCAGCTGTGGCAACAAGCAAGAAGCATGTCAATAGTGAGAGACAAAGGCAATTGGCCATGCCATTCTCATCTCTTGAAAGTGCAAATAAACCTATTAAACAAACCTCCATGAAGTATACCCCCGAGTACAATTGGAAAAGTGCTGTTGGGAAGTGTTGGCCATAGTTTTCAGACACGTTCTCCATGCTGTATTGGTACCTCAATGTATATTTGAATGAAAAGAGCACCAACAGGAATGTAACTATACAAAATACAAGAATCAACGGCGAAAGAATACAATAAACCAAGCCAATTGATCCCAAAACAGCAAAGGTTGGGTATACAGATCCCCATCTGTAGTGTGGTGGTGACGAAATCCTGTTGAACTTTTGACGAGGAGTGAAATCAATGTATGGGTAAACAAAGACGTTACAAAAGAGTTGATACACTTGAAGAAGATTGTTCCCAAAGTACGATAACCCTCGAATGATCACATAAGAGAAGAAGAAATTGGAGCATTTGGGGAAATTCGTAGCAAGGATGTTTGGAATTGAGACTGGATTATTGACTAACCCTTCAACAATGACGGTAAACCCTGATGAAATTGTAACGATCAAGAAAAGGTGAATGAAGAGAAATATGAACATCACCTTCTGTACGTCAAGCTCAACTTCTGCGCCTGTTCTCTTGCATTTTATGAAGCTGATCCATCGAAATATATGAGGCACCAACTCTGCTAAAGACATCAAGAGTATTACTGAAGCGAAATTTGAAATGACATCTGTGACATACGTGGGAAGGTAATTCAACCAGGAGAGAAATGGAATCAATGCTGTCATATAGGGCATTTGAGATATGAGACCTATGAATGCCACGGGTATCACCCATCCAATAATGACACAGAACGTGAGAACATTCCCTACCAATGTCCTTGCAAAACACAAGAAGTTACTCTGAACTGCGAGATTGTCCCAAATCATGTCCTTAGGATTGATGTATATCAAGGTTTTATCAAGCTCGTTGATCGTACCAGAGAGTTGAATCTGGTTAAGGATCTCAAGGTGGAATGGATCTTTGAATTGAATAAACACCTTGTTATACTTATGATCAGTCAAAGGACTCTTCTCTTTAGCAATCAATCGCAACTTCGTTTGTGCCAACAAGTTATGATTAATCTTATAATCATTCTCTGTGAGCTTCAACTTCGTCATCATGGAACAGAACTTGATTCTTGGCCTGGACCATCCATTGGTGAAATCCAACTTGACAAACTTCCAATTATACCAGACAAACTTCCAGAAATTTGTCTTGTATTGAGTGTTGTCGTTGATCAACGCTGAGTTGTCTTGCTCAAAGAATCTTGATGTGATATGAGCAGTGAGTAAGTACTCCAATCTGTCAGCAATCTTTTGCTCCTTTTGGTACAATGTTTGTATCTCACCATAATCATACACAAACCAAACATTTTTGATCCTAGCACCGCAGAGCGAGTTGAATAGCTTTGCCAATTTCATTCTATCTAACAACCCACGTGGTACATTGTCAATCATTATTGTATTGTTGTAGTCACGGTGTTGATATAATGGGGCGAATTTAGAAATCTCTGACAAGTAGGTGTTCTTCTGTTTAACATAGTGGTTCAACTCCAAGATCAAGAGCAAATGAAACCATCCAATTGAGATCATTGCCATAGTCAAATGTACGCTCAATCTTGAAGAGAAGAGTGGTGCAATGTTTGACATTGAAATGCAATCCAAGCCATCCACTCTAGGAAATGTGCCATTAGTGTACTGTATGATCTCATTGGCTTTGTAGTAGTTGTAGCCCGAAACGTAGTTGACAGGTATTAATACAGGAAGATTCAAGATGGCCAACCCTAGGAACAACTTCACGAGAAACGAGAGGTATCTTAGGAAGAAGTACGAGTCAAGTCCGAGACTGAAGTAGTCTTTCAAGGGAGCACATATCACGAATGGTACCCATGAGAATAATCCTTCGTTCAATGGCTCAATCTTCTCATCGTCTGGTATGTAATAACAGTTGGGTTGATAAATGTTATTCAACTTGGTTCTCAAGAGACTAAACGCCACGATTTGAAAGACACAGAATAAGCCAGATACTACCAATGAAGAGAAGAACGTCTGAAACGATATGCCAGCGGCCTTTTGAGCAGAGCCCACCCTTGAGGTGTTTAAAAAGTCCAACAAGTGAAGAAACTGTGAAGATGCAATTTCCTGTGCTGTGCTGTTGTCAAATCCACTGCTCAAGAGCGACATTGTCTAGTGGTCAGCCAACTATGAACGAACAATGTATAGCTCACTTAGAATGGCTGGTGATCTTTACAACTTCGATTAGCTTGTGCTTTTGTACCTGGACAACACGGTGACGGCTTTTGTGTTATTTATGCTTATAGGCCATTGCAACAAAGCGTTATGGAAATAGTGCTGATGAATGCTGATAAAATGAACAATATTAAGGGATGCTGTTGTTCCCTTCAGAGTGCCAGCAATGGCATTCTTCAGTTGGGAGAACCTTTCCTGGGGGTGAATGCTTGCTCAAAGAAGGGCGCACGGTATACGTTGGTGCGTATCATTGACGCACGTTGATGTTGCGACTGCTTTATCTCCTCATCAACACCTTTGAAGCCTGCATAATGAACATCATCTACATCGGGAGCAATATTTGTAGCAGATGATTAGTTAGGATCGTTCTGGTAACCGTACGATGGCCAGTATTTATGGGCTATAGTGTCAATGTTGTTAAGTGGATGAAGCCAGAATAAATTGCGTTGACTTCAGCTGACGCTGGTGGTGCTGATAATTATTTAAAGATGCGATCGGGATTATATAATCGGCGGTGTCACATCAATTAAATTGGTCTTCATGACTATTGAGAGTTATTTGATTTGTAAAACAATTGGATACATATATCTCGTGTTATATAACGTCATGTTCTTTAATAATGCATTGAAACGGTGAAGGTGTGTTTATTTTATTGTTGTGCTGTGTTGTCAAATTTGTTAACTGAAGAATCTTGGTGTCTAATTTTTGTAAAAGTAGTGTATAAAATGGATAAATATTGTAATAAAAATCCACTTTGGGCCTGACTTGGGCCAATTTATACCACTTTATATAGCAATACACTACTTTTTCAACTATATGTCTTTTAGTTCCTCAAGTAATTCATAGCCGTTGAGCTATTGCACTTCTGATATGTCTCGAACCGCTTATTTGCACACTAAACCCGTGACAAAACAGTCATTTTTGCTTTATTATCTGGCCAAAGATCTTAACCAAGCTCTAATGCACTTTATTCCGGTCCACATCTCTAAACAATTAATCTCCAATGTTCGTTTAGTAATTCTTTTCAACATTCGTGGTGAAATCGTGTAAAACCTTTGTAGGTCCAGCGAGATGCGTGCATAATCTACACCTATGTTACCACTCGCACTACACAATCAAACACCGATAGTCTATTCCCCATGGATACAACTATTCAAAGAAATACCAGGGATTTGCACAATTGAATGAAGCCGCAAGAGGCACAGGGTAGAACCGTTTTCATCCACCTCACTCTATTCGTTAACTGTTAACTACAGATGAACAGCGCAAGGCCATCACCGCAAAAGACAATCAAGATCTACCGCAGTCTGGGCCGTAATCACCCACCTGTATCATACGCTTCGAGCCTCCAGCCAAAGTCTTTAGATAACCCATAAGCAGCAGGATGGACATACATCTCCCCAAGCACTCCTTCTGTTCATGCTCTTGACCTTGCACCGCCAACCGTTAACGGTCCCCTTTAGAGAATCTAAGAGGCGCAGTAGGAAGGTCAGATGCACGCGTCGTGTCGCATAGCCTCCGCCGTCCAGCAAGAATGACAGAATTATCGTGTTTGCATTATACGTAACGTGGTTTCTATTTTTGAACCATTTTCTTTGTTTAACCTTGACGATGGCAATGTGCAATGACACCATAAACCGTCATCCTTCGTAGAGGCAACACCCATTGCTTTACCCTGTGGAGTCACAGTAAATTCTACGGTGCTTGTCCATGCGATACCTCTTGTTATATTTTTGGGGCTGCTAGGCTGGCTGTTGCCAGTTGGGCCCAAACAGGCAAAGCACCAGGCCGCGACTCGAAATCATAATTTTCAGCGTAGATCTGAACGGGATCAAGAGGAGTTTAAGACCCCCAAAAGAGAGCCTTTTCCAGAATAAAAAAGGGGGAAACACACAGCAGATCTCTCTACCAGTCATCCTGCTATAGTGTATAAACATGACAGAATCAACTAAAATCACTGTAACAACCCACCAAGACCACCAGCGACAATTGTGTGTTTTTCTTTCTTTTCAGACGTGTCCATTCTCGCTGAGAAAGCTTCTGTCGCGACACGCAGCTCTGTGCATGACGAGGCCTGCCTTGTGCCTTTGGACAAAAGACAAACGGTTAAACCATGCGTACACACCATAGCATTTGATGAGAGAACAAGCCCGATGCGCACCAGTTCCAGTGCATTGCGAGTGTTTATTTTTGTTCTTCAGTTGATTTGGGGGTCCTGGCTTTTGGATTAGTCTTTCCATCTTACTTTCCTTTCGACAGAGGGGCTGATTGCTTTTGATTTAAATACAGGTGTGATTCCTTCTTTGGACAGACCGTTGTCCCGAGGTTAGTTTTGTGTCAAGATTCTGACGTTTGTGTTAAACAAGTTTGAGAGGACTGTGCAACTTTAGAGCGAAAGTGTCTCAGGGTATACGCTGAAGGAAATAGCCAGAGAGAAAGAGCGATAGTGTGATAGGGACATATTTAACAAGGAGAACAAGACTACTACACACCATGCTAATGAAGCCAACATTATTGTCGTTATTTGCTCTGACTGGAGCCTATGCGCAGTCATATACAAGTTGTAATCCGTTGGAGAAAACGTGTCCTGCTGACACGGCGTTGGGCTCCACGGTTCTCATAGACTTCACAGAGGAGTCGTCCTACTTTGATGCGTATTCTCATGCAGATAGAATATCGTACACTGATCAAGGTGTCAAGATGACCTTGCAACAGAGATACGATAATCCAGGATTGAAGTCAAACTTCTACATCATGTTTGGAAGAGTCGAGGCAAACTTGAAAGCTGCTCCTGGTAGAGGAGTGGTGTCATCTTTCTACTTGCAGAGTGATGATTTGGACGAGATTGATCTGGAGTGGATTGGGAGTGATACCACTGAGGTTCAAACAAATTACTTTTCAAAAGGTAACACCACAACCTATACCAGAGGTGAGTTCCATGCAGTGAGTTCTCCACAGGATGAGTTCCACAATTACACAATTGACTGGACAGAGAGCCAGTTGAATTTCTACGTCGATGGGACTCTAATCAGAACGATCAACAGCGATGATCCACAGGGATATCCACAGACTCCAATGTACATTGTAACTGGTATTTGGGCTGGTGGTGATCCATCTAATGCTGCTGGCACGATCGAATGGGCCGGTGGTGAAATTGATTACAGCGCAGGTCCATACTCAATGTATGTTAAGAGCGTGATCGTGTCTGACTACTCGACAGGCTCTGAGTACGTCTACAGTGATGAGTCAGGTTCGTGGACCTCAATCCAAGCCGTTGACGGTGAAGTTAATGGCAGATACGAAGAAGGCGTTGAGCAATTTTCAATTCTGTCTGAAGGTGGATCACTCTCTGAGGGATCATCGTCCACTAAGGCCTCATCATCATCGTCCACTAAGGCCTCATCATCATCGTCTTCATCATCGTCATCATCTTCTTCGCAAAAATCGTCTTCTTCCTCGTCTTCTTCCTCCTCTTCAAAGAGCTCTCAGACAGATGCTGGGGTATCGAGCTCATTTTCAAGACACAGTTCTCACATTTCATCGTCAACCAGCTCATCAACGCTTTCAAGTAGATCTTTAAAAGAATCAGAACAAGAAAGTGACTCCACAGTTACAAAGACGAGCTCAGCGGAAGAACAATCAAGCACCCCAAAGGTGTCAACGTTGACATCCTCTGATTCATCGAGCACCGGAACTTCATCAACACTGACAGTTCAACAGAGTAACGGTGCTGCAGCAGGTGCTTCACCAATAGGCAAAGCAGCCAATTTCAGTTTAAATACATTGGCTACCATAATGTGCTTATCAATTGGTCTATTATTGATCGTGTGATGACTACGTGGGGTATTGTATAAGGCCTGGAGGGCATTGTAATATTCAAAGAAAGAAAATGTACTGCTATCAAATTCAATACGTACTTGTATGTAGATACGATATTGCTATGGCAACGTATTTTGGTTAACACACACATCCAAACACCACCATCGAGCCTGAGGGTTGAAGTTTTCCAACGAATCGGAGAGTTTGTTCTTGCGAAGTGCTGATTTGATTGTAGTTTTCATCTTCATTTATTTCAAAGATGGCTTTCGGTGGTCTCTTCGGTGGTTCTTCATCCTCTTCTACTCCAGTTACAGCTACTGCTGTCAACACCTCGAACGATGTAAAGGAGCAGCTCAAGCAACAAATCGCCCAAGAGCTTGCAGTTGCCAATGCCACCGAGTTGGTGAACAAGATGACTGAGAACTGCTTTGAACAATGCCAGAAGGCTCCATTTGCTAATGGCGAGGATGTATGTGTCTCTAGACCTCTGGGAACTTTTAGAATGACTACTAACTTACTGTACAGTATTGTGTTGAGAAATGTTTGGAGAAGTACATGAGAGCATGGAACACAGTATCTAAGACATACATCTCTAGAATTCAACAGTCCAATAACTGAATGGAGATTGTTTGAAATCGTATAGAGAGGAGAAAGTAGACATGCACGAGAGAGGAGTTATTCTATGGTACCTGTACATACAAAAACATGTTCAACAACGACAACATTTAATGGTGTTTGACACTTTGTATTTTAAAGTAGATTGAAAGATATTTTGGGTGAGATGTTAAGCTTATTTCAACGTTTCAATTGCTCCTTTGTAGCTCTTGGTGGACGATATGGGGCTCTCTTCCCACCAGTGCTTTGACCCTTTGGTTGAACCTCTTTTCCTCCGGAAGAGAGTATCTTCCTATCGGATTCATCCTCCAGAGGTTTGTTCTCAATGCCCATGCCTTGGAGCTCCTTGGTGATTTCATTGACACCAAGATCATCAGGACCAGAATGTTCCACCACTGTAGCCCTGGTTCTATTTGAGCATTGACTCGCCTCATTTCTAGCCTTGTTAGCTCGAAGCAGGCTCTCAAGGCCGCCAAATGCTTTCGGAGCACGGGTGCCTTTGCTAACATCCCTCGAACAGCTGATTGGTTCATCCTGGGTCCTTACTCCTCTCATTTCACGCACGTTGACTCTCTTGGTATCCTCCAAGGGCGTAAAGCCGGGTCGTACTTTCACAACACGCCGTACAGAGCCATCTGAACGTTGCGAACCACCAACAACTCTGTTCCCAGTGTCATCCAAATGAACTCCTGCAGTGGATTTGTGAGCTTCGTGGACCATACTTCACTGCCCGTTGTGTTGTGGCTGGTGGCTTGCTCATTGCCAACTTTGCGAGTTGGTTTGTTAGGCGCCCCGAGATGGCCTAAAATATCCATTTCGAAAAAACAAACCCACTTTGATGGTCAGATGGGGAATTTTGAAAAGGATGAGAAGATTGTTCTGATGCTGTGCCATTGAAGAGCTCGACTGTAGGAATAGAACAGACCAAACAATTTATACTCTTCCTTATTTAAGTTTGGCGTTTTGACGGTTATACTGATATTTTTATGTTACGTCGTCAACGGCAGAAACCATAGCACGAAGTTATTATTATATTATAGTGATACAAGTAGTTTCCCCCTTTTTGGGTATCTTATAGTCTCTTTTTGAACCAGCTGCCAAAAGTTCTTGACTTTCTCTTCTCCTCGGTGGTTGAAAATGAAGATAGCGTGTTGATACTAGCCGATTTGATCAACCGGGATATTTTCTTCTTTGGTGATGAGTTGAAAGTGTCTCGGCTCGTCTTGGTATCGTTCGATAGCGATTCAGAAGCGTCTTGGTTCTTGAAGGAGAGCTTCAGGTTCAGTGCAGCGTCTTGCCTGAGGTACTTCAAGCCGGTCATACCGGGCGAAGCTCTCTTGATCTTCCCAGAACTGTTGATAATGGCAGTGGAGAGCACATACTCAGCGTACTTTGCCATGTCTTTGATGTCATTGGGCGATTCGGAGTCTGAAAGTTTGGAGCATAGTCTTGCCCTTTTGTTTGACAATCTGTCAGATTCTCGAACTAAATCTTTCAATGATGATCCGGCATTCATGTAGTTGAAGACCTGGTCACTGTCCGAAGTTTTTAAGAGAGTCTTGATGAATTCTTCTGAGCCAAACTCAAAGTCTTCGTTGGGAACGCATTCGTCGTGCTTCGGCATCAGCTTCTCAAATTCTAGCGAGCCAATCTTGTACAGAGACTTCCTATTGCTGACTTTATCAACGCCGTTGCCACTAGTGTTGTTTTCGAAATAGCCAAATTCATCGATTTCAACACGAGGAGGGTGCTTTGCCAACAAATCTGAGAGTTGTGCAATTCTCAAGTACTTGTCAATGAGGAAAGGCACAGTTGGAAGCTCCTTCAAGATGTCCTTAGGGATAAACATGATATCTGGCCTCTCTAAGGAAGATGATAGTTTCACCCTACGCTCTGTAAAATCCATCTTCTTACCAGTGGTTTTATCGAGATACTCAAGGAGTTCAGCTTTATGCTTATCAATGAATGTCTCATTGAATTTCGCCAGGTATGGCTCCTTAGCTCCAAATTTCGTTCTGTTGGAGAAAGTCAATAGGATCTTGGATATCAAAGTCAAAGTTCTCTTTGGATCACCTGTTTGGTGATTTGAAGTCAAGAAGAATAATTTTGGGTTCAATATCACAGGACAAAAGAATCTCAAAAATATGAAACCAGTGATACAGTTGAGTGTAATGTCAATATCAGAGGTATACATTTCAATTTTTTTCCGAAGCAGTGTCATTTGCTGTTTGATAGTGGCTGGCAAGTCATTTGACGTTGTGTAAATCAAGGACCAAATCTGCTCTGTATATCCCAGCAGGACTTTGAAGTTTTTATCAATGATAGCAGCCTTTTCATCATCAGGACATTTGAGTCGCATTGGATCAATCTCTGTACATTCATTCATTGCCAGTATTGAAATGATAAACTTTCCAACAACTTTTTCCAAGTACTCTTGACCCACTCTTAAGTTGAACATTTCGACTGATTTCGTCAGCAGTGAGTTGCCTCTAAAGAGGGTGTTGTAGATGTTCTTATCAGTAGATCCCATGATTTTGGAAATCTCCTGGTCGATCAGAGTAGAAAAGAATTCACCCTCTTTTTGCAATGATTGGAATATATCCAGCAGTAATACCGAGGTGCTTTGTAAGTTTTCCTGCAAAGATTTCGATCTAATGTAGAGTAAGAGTTCTTTTAAATCACAGTTCAAGATCATCTGCTCAAAATGGTTGAAGTTATCTGGTGGTAGAACATAATCAGTTGATACCTTCACAGAGAAACACATTTGTCCAATCAGTGATCCATCTGGTGCACTTAATGGCACTCTCTGTAAGTTCTCGTCATATTTCTCAAACCCCACCAACGATGACCCTAAGACAACGTCTGATTGTTGATAGTGGTTTGCACTTGCCTCTTTCATCACAACACGGAACTTTCTGGTGGGCATTGGTAAGTCCAATTCTAAAACCTCTCTGTAGAAGGCACATGTATCACTGTCAACGATAGCAGTTCTAAACCATGGAGCTCCCCACATTTGTACTTCACAGTATAGCTTTGCCCCAGTTCTCCATTCCTTTTCCAAATCCACTTCCAAAATATTGAACTCGAGTTTCCTAGAGACACGTAACGTATGCTGTTGCGAGAGTCCAACGGCTTGTCTTGTTGTAAACGACTTTAACGCGACAAGCCAATCCTCAACGTCAATTTTGAAGGGGAATTCCATTATGATTCTTCTGCCCCTCACAGAATCTTTGAATATCGTCTTGACCTGTTCAGACTGATATTCACATGGCCCAACCATTCTCTTCCTCAGGTCATCCAAGATACCAACGTAAAGGTAATTCGAAGATTCAAATATCGAGTTGTGCAGCTCTCTGACTTCATCTCTCAACAGAAGTGTCAAGTCCAAAACATACAAGGTTTTACCATCGTTCTCGTTAATCAATTCCAATTCACCGTTACTCTTCAACACAGCCATGGCACTAAACCACTGTTCATGAGACCCGGGGAATATTGGAACCTGAGGACCTGGTTTGACATCGATCTTCCCAGAATGTTTAGATAAGGGACCAAAGCACTTACAGCTAGCCACGAGGACATTCTCTGGCTTCAACGATTTGTCAAAGCTGTATGGTATGGTAAGACGTTTGTTTATAACTCCTCTAGGCTTCAAACTTTGCCAGAACAACAGAGCTGCTAACAGCTGAACAAACGTCGTTGTGTCGGGACACCTTATCAACGTAGTCATCAAGCCATTATACGTCTTCACCACAAAGGCATCCTCCAAGATCTGTAACTGACACGAGTGCAACGAGGTCACCAGCTTCGTGGTGTCGTTTGATACTAGAGAACCTGTGTCGTCTATTGTCAACATTGATGAGTAGAAACCATCCGCGCCATTGTTTGATACCAGAACCTGTCCTTTGAATCTCCCCTCCTGCGATGCCAGCTCCTTCCGTAACGTAGATGAGTCCAACTGGAACATCGTGATGGTCTTTATACTGGATAGTGAGGAGGGAGTATGTTAGGGTATTTGCCATACAAGCGCACATTTTAGTTACAATCTCCGTGGAAACATAAATAGTGTTTTTCCTCCGTAACTGCAGCAGCAACATCAGCAGCAGCGCCAGCAACATCAGAAACAGAGACAACGCGGTGTTAACGTCAACCAAAACATGTATTGAGACTATTCTTGTAATACTGATAATCCTGTACGATTCAGTTGTATAAGCTAATCCTTAAATTATGACCAAGACAGAGAAACACGAAACAAAACAGTAAAAAGAGGCAAGAGGGTGTTGTATGCACCTCTGGTATATACCGGCTCTGACTTTTATTTCAAGTTATAAACCAACAGCAGGAAACGATGTGTAGTCAGATTTAGAGGGAGAAAGCCTTTGGAGCTTCACCTTCTGGACCAATGTACTCCTCTTGTCTCCATGGGCCGATATCGGACAAGTACAATCCACCTTCAGCTTCAGATACTTCGGACAACCCACCAAATTTCTTTGGCAAATTCTCTGCAGGGATTTGTTTGAGCAACTCGGTCTTATAACTTGAGCCTAAGATAAAGATCTTTGAAACAGTGACAGGGTCCAAGAAAGGCTTGAACAGACGGAAGGCAGTGGAGAAACCAAATGGAGCATTGATCAAGTAGAACTTACCCATACGTTCTGGGTAATGGTTCTGACCAATGTATGAAGCCTCTCTCACGTAGGATAACACCTGGGCAGCTGCTGAGATTGAAATTCCCTTCAAGTCCATGATGGTACATGACGTTTCAACCAAGTAATCCTCCTTTCTAGAACAAGCAGGAAGTCTGAATCTAGTGAATGACTCGTATTCCCAAACCAAGTTCTTCAGCATACGCTCCTGGGTGGTGATCTTGTACATCTCAGTCAAGTTGACGGAGCCCAACTCCTCGATATACACAGGACGACCTTCTTTATCGGTCTTGTGGTAGTACTGTGGATAGTACTTGGCAACGATCGGCTTCTCTTCGTAGTGGAAATCCTCCAGGATGGTGTCGGTACCAAACTCTTTTCTCCACTTCTCATGCTCCTCATACATCTTCAAGGCAAGGGCAATGTCAAACTTTCTAGCTCTAAGGAAACGCAACTTGGAGACGTGTTAGTATACATAGGATCAACACTACTGTTACACCGCCTCTTCACCTTAAAGAGAGGCAGGGCGGTAGAACAGCGGCATCAGGGAAAGAAACACTTACCAAAGTGGCATCATCCAAACGTTTTTCATAACCTTTCGCCTTCAATTGCTCTCTAAAGTCGAGCAACTTCTTTTGCTGTTCATCGTTGAGGTAACCTGGGTGGCCCGGTAGAGAACCCGGTGGTGCAATCTGTGGGTACGATTTCCTACACAACCATGTGTTAGTACTTCATCACAACATAACGATGATCCGGCAACCACATCGAATCAAACCAAGGAAAATATGCTTCTCCCACCAGCACGGATCAACCAGAGAGAAAACCACACATACAAAAACTCTTCCTCCTGTATTTGGTGTTAGTAAAGGATCAATAACAAAGGCACAGAAGAGCACACGAAACCAAAAAATCCGTTGAATGGAATTATCCATCAGAATAAAAACAAAGCAACAAATTACTAACTGAGACCATTTTCTAAGTGTTCTAAAACAGGATACTCGAACTGCTGTGTTTGAGAGAAGTTCTCCTTGTTGAAGAGAAGCACAAAAACAACGAAAGGGCCGAAAAGCACAGAAAATAAACACAGAGCAAAAACGACAAGAAGCGACAAGAATTCCGCGAAAAGACGCTGAGAGAAAAAACGAATCGCCAAAAAAGGGTTGTTGTCGTTGTGTCGCTGTCGTCATCGTTGTTTCGCGGCTTTTTCCGTACCGGCGGGTTTTACGCGTAGTTTTTCAATTTGCTTTCTTTGAGGGTCGGAAAGTTGGTCAGAAAAAGTCCAATGATTCCGATAACTCTCGGTACGCGCACATACCGTATCGTTTGTTAGGTGCTGAGGCGAATACATCAATAGCGTTCAACGTACAACGAGCAAGCACATAGATACACCAGGTTGAAAGCGTAGGAAGAAGCAGCAGGGAGAGGTAACGATGTCTGCCGTCACTGTGGTATATGGTCTCAAGAGTCTAAAGGTTAAGACATCTCCTGGTACTCCAGCTGCTGAAATACTTGACAGAGTAGCTACTCATTTCAAGTTGGATTCCGCCACCTTTGCGTTATTGTTAGTATGAATCTCTGCCGCACATGTTCTGTCCAGAACTCGACTAATCGATGACTTTAGCCATAAGAACAGCGAGATCTCCAACTCACTCCCATTCAGACTGCTGAACTTACCAGCTGGGGCTAAGTTGGAGTTGAAGCCTTCAAAATCAAAGAGACAACAGGACATAAATGTCAAGGTCCAGTTCATAAACAGTCCATTTGAGCAGAACTCTGTGGTTAGAAAGTTGTCGAATTGTATGACATTGGGCCAACTGGTTGAGATGCTGCAGAGTGAATTGGGCGCTATGTTGGATGCTGGCTATGATTTGAAGTTTCAAACCTTTACAAAGACAGTAGGAGTCGAGTGTTTAGATCTGACATTATCTCAAGTTGGTGTTGAGAATAACGGTGTGCTGAGAATAAGCTTTAACAGACCAACTGTTATTGAAAAGAAACAACCTGGTGAACCAAGTGCAGTACATGTGGAAAATTCTAACAAAACTGTGGATACAGATACGACAATGGAGACAGCTAAGACAGAGGAGATAAAACTGTCGCCAGAGGAAGAAGCCTATAAGAATGTTCTTGTGCAACAGATTAAAGCCCATTTTTCTCAAGTGGAAGATGAAACCGGTCACGATGAGATGGACATCGATGGGCCAGTTGACCGTGAAGAGCCAGCGAAGGAAGAGCCAATGAAGGAAGAGCCAATGAAGGAAGAGCCAAAGGAAGTTCCTAAGCATGTCTACGTCTTCAAGGCATCTGAAACTCCTCTTGAAGTTGAGCAACCAGACGAAGAAGTTTATGAACTTTCTGTGTCACACGCACGTCAGTACCAAAATATGTTATCATCATACGCACACGACTCTGAGAAGAAGAGAAGAATACGTAAAGAGGCCCAAAAACGTCGTATAAATAACGTTGAAGTTAGAATAAGATTCCCAGACCAGTCTTTCCTACAGGCTAACTTCAAACCAAATGAGACAAATGCAGACTTGTACAAATTTGTTTCGAATTCATTGGCTAAGGAAAATGTTGAGTTTGAGCTGAGCATACCACATCCACACGAGGTCTTAGTCACTTCAACACAACCATTGATAACTCAATTGGACGCAAGAAACTTGTTATTGTTCAGATCACAAATCTTGGTAAATGGTCCGTTTCTAAAGCCTGATTTCCTACAACAGGCCAAGGATATGAGAGAAGCCGAAGAGATTAAATTGGATAAGGAATTCAACCACGTTCATGCAGATGATACAACACAGATAGAGTCCTTGAAGGTGAATTCTCCAACAACAAAGAGCTCCACACACAACAACGGTAAAAAGATTCCTAAATGGTTAAAGCTTGGAAAAAGCTAAAGCATGCTACATTGATGCGAATTGTGAGTTGATCATAATAACGATAATAAACCTATATAAAAAAAGGAAAGAGAATACAAAAAGTAGATACTGAAATCACAATATCTCACCGGAACGAATAGAAGTTTAAAAGGAAAACACACAGTTAATGAATGCAGGATGATTGTAACCATCTCATAACCGATGAGCTATGTGTTTATCATGGGTATATCTGGGGTATCAAATGATTGGTTTAACCACCATAAGCGACAGCGAACAACTCAGAGATAGCTTCGTTATCCAAGTCAGAAGCCAAAGCTGCTTGAAGCAAAACCTTAGCCTTGACTGGGGACAACAAACCAGCAGCAAAAGCAGCTTCAACTGGAACGTCTTCTGGGGTCAATACATCAAGCTCAGAGCTTGAAGCAAAGACAACTGGGATGGACTCAGCCAAGATCGAAGCTTGCTCGATGAATGCTGCACTGTAGTCATCAATGGAGCCAGCAGACAAGACAATACCATCAATGAGAGTTGTTTGCAAAGCAGCCAACAAGTCAGCAGAGGAAGAGCCAACGGTCTCGACAACGAGGACTTCTGGAACAGTTGAGTCCTCAGTGATAGTGAAGTTGCCACCAAAGTCTGGGAATGAAGCATCGGTGACAAACCATTGGGCCTCACCACGAGTAACCTTACCAAGAGTAACAGCGGAAGAGACGAAACGGTCGCCAACTCTCTGGGAGTAGAAGGCTGGGGAAATGTATTGGGAAGAGACAACCTCGGTGTCGAAAACGTTGTCCTCATCAGCAGCAACAACAATGGCGTTGTACAAGTCGAGCAAACCACCGCTCAACAAGTTCTCAGCTGTGAGCTCTGGAGCAAACACAATGGCGTTAGAGATGTTTGCAGTGATGTCAACAAAGAAAGCGGCGGACTCGAGGTAAACTGGCTCAAGAAGGATAACGAAGGCATCGTAATCCTCAGAGTCATCCTCAAGGGCTTGGTACAACAATGGCAAGGTAGAGTCGTTGAAAGAAGTAGCCAATTCCTCGTAATCCAAAGAAACATAGCTGGAGAGATCAGTGGCATTCAACAGAGCGCTCAATGAATTGTTACCCAGGGCAGAAGCAACGAATTCAACACTGGAGGAGTTACCTGCAATGTTCAAGATTGACAAAATGTCATCAACAGTAGCCTCGATGGAGATGGTTGAGGAGTTTGAGTAAGTGGCATTAGAAGCCTCAGCAGTAGCGTTGACAGAACCATAAATCTCGGTGAAGTTGCTGGAGAATGAGAAGATCTTGATAGTGGTCAAGTCGGACTCTTCCTCAGAAGAGGTGGTGTTGGTGGAGTTTGATGCGATGGATGAGTTTGTAGAGTTGGTGGTATTCAAAAGAGAACTCAACCAGGAAAGGGCAGAGTCGGAACTGTCCTCACGCTTGTAGAGAAGGTTGACGATATCGAATGGAATAGCATTGGCAACTGCCAAAGTGGAAGCAAGGGCAACAAGTGAGAATCTCATTGTGTTTATATGCTTTTGAATGTCTATGTAGATACCTTAACTAAACAAGAAACAAGACAAAAAAGGGGGAGCATTCTAAAACTGTGTAGAATTGGGGATGATGGGAAAAGACTACACCTTATATAGGATGGCGTTGAACTATAACAGAATCCGCATGAGAGTTATTATGCAAGGTCTTATGAGCAATTCAACCACACGTACAAGAAGCGAATACCGTACGGTACATATTTACCATTTACCCACTTTGGGGCAACTATCCTAAAAAGGCAACCCAGAAAACGAAAACGAAAATGAAAATGAAAAAGAAAGAGAAGCCTTGTGGCTGTCTTTTGGTCATCTTTGCGCAATTTCGTCAACATGAACGAAGCTTAACAGAGAGGCAATTTTAAAAGAGCTCCGGTATTACTCCCCTCGAGGACAGAAATGGTGACATATCTGTGGCTTTGTGCATGTTTTCCATAGGGGAAAAACAAACACACAAACAAAGCTTCTGTAGAAATCTGTACGGGAGCGCGGTACCGAAG